TACTAGTACATCTGCCACAAAACTACAGATATTTAATTTGGATGTAAATTAGTATTAATTTGCCCCCGTCCCCACTCTTTAGTATTAATCCAAGTAGCGGTGTTTTTAGGGGGAAGGAGTGAGGTATGGTTGATTTTACTCCAGTAAATGTGGGCTGAGTAGAAACAGTTGGTTGTGGGTCCTCTGGTCCCATGCACCTGGAGGTCAAGGTTCTGGATTCCGGCACATGCCCCCGTTGTTTGTGGGCTTGATCACCGGTAGGGGGCGTGCAGGAGGCAGCCAGGTTGATATTTCTCTCTAATGGATTTTTTTTTTAATCTCTCTCTCCCTCTTCCTGAAATCAATAAAAACATATTTTAAAAGTACAAGCCAGAAGTTAGATAGATTCATATAATTAAAGCAAACATTTTTATGTTTTGAAGAGAGATAATTTTTGCACTTGCAGATGCTGTTCCCTCATTGACTCAGATGGTGAACTGTTTTCAACCACAGAGGACCTGGTGAATGTCAGTTAGTTCATAGCTGAAGTTTTAGTTCCTATTTATAGACTTCTTTTTTTGGAGCTATTTGACTAATTTGCTTTGAGAAGGAATTTCCTTTATTTTCTTTTATTTTCATATTTTAATTTTATTCCCCAGCTCTTATATTAAATATTGGAACTTAAATATTAGAACAGTAGTGGGGGCAGCAACCAGGTGCAATACTCAGAATATGGGAAAGTTCTTGGAAATTGTCAAGTGTTATACAGAAAGTTGGTGATGGTTCATTGATTCATTAATTTGTTTCTTCATTTAAGAAATATTTATTGAATAAATCCTAGGTGCCTCTTTCACTTCTGGTTTCCAAGTAAGTGAAGTTGTCTTTAAGTAGAAAAGAATTCCATGGAAGAAACCTTGTAGCTCACAGAGGCAATAGGAATACAACAGTCAAGCTTGGAAAGCAAGCAGAAATCAAGGGACAATGGGAACAGCAGCAAAGTCAAGGTCACAGGATGCAATAGACTGGTTAGGAAGCCTCTGCGGTCACTGTTGTCTGTGTTGCTGCTGCCAAGAGAGACAGGCTATCCCTGTGTTTTTATGATTTTTCTGCAAGGGCCAGTGGGGCAGGGGGATGCCCTCTCGTATGACATATACCAGGATCCTAGTTATTCAAGGGTGAGAAGGAGAGGCACTGATTTTACTGCACACTTTAGGGAATCATTTAAAATAAGAAGTTTGTTTGGATAGTGGGCAGCAACCCCAACAAACAAACAAACAAACAAACAGCACCCTGAAATATGTTACTACTTTGGTGCTGGGGGTAGAATAATGAACAAATTAGATATGGTCCCTGCTCTTAAGAATCTTACTTATTAGTGGAGTGAGGATAACTGTTGTTTTTTGTTTGTTTGTTTGTTTGTTTGTTTAAAGAAGGGGGGGGAAAAAAACACAGCCAAGAATTATTCAGATCTCATCTCAAAGTGCCAAAACCGGTTTGGCTCAGTGGTAGAGCATCGGTCTGTGGACTTAAAGGTCCCAGGTTCGATTCCGGGCAAGGGCATGTACATTGGTTGCGGGCACATCCCCAGTAGGGGGTGTGCAAGAGGCAGCTGGTTGATGTTTCTCTGTCATCGACATTTCTAGCTCTCTATCTTTCTCCTTTCCTCTCTGTAAAATATCAATAAAATATATTAAAAATAAAATCAAATCAAAGTAATGGACTAAATTTCCCCTTATTCCCCCCTATTCTTATCCTTTGGGTAAGGTTGGAAGTTAGTTAGGGGAAGTTAGACATACTGATTTAGGGAGTGCTGTGTCTAGTCCATCACCTGCAATCTCAAAGTCAAGTGTGTGCTGGAAACAAGATCTGAAACTGGAGGTGGACCAGGCAATCCTGTTGTCTAGTGCCCTCCTCATGCAGATGCTCTCCAAAGTCCTTTCCATGCCTGCTCCCCTTTTATCAAAATGGGCTCTTTATGATTATTGGGTTAATTTCCTGAGGGCTCTTTTTTAGATATCCTAAATCTGAATCCAAGTTGTTATGAGGTTTATAACCTTAAAAGCTATTTCTGATGGGATACTTTTGTAATGATTAACTTCATATAACAAAAAGGTTTTGGGATTCTCTTTTAAAAATGAATTTTTAAAAATTTCGAATTCTGAGTGATCTGATTCAGTGAATGGGTTTGTTGCTTCAAGTTTTAAATTATATTCTGAGTTTGTGGTTTCTAGCTGTAACTAATTTTCAGACCAAGAAAGGGACAGAGGGTAGAAAATGAGTGATCAGTGAGACCAGAATTGCTTTAGAGTTATGTCATTTCTGAGAATTTACTGTACATTTTTTTACTGAGATGTTTCTTTGAAGAAGATTTTAAGTTTTCAGTAAAAATATTTACTTGATGGGGTAAAGCCCTACTTAAATCTTGTTTCTTCAAAGTGGAATCATAGCGATATTTACTATATCATCAAACTGTTCTAACTGGAAAGATGTGGGGACAGTTTCAAGGGTCATGTTTAACATTAGGTTTGTTTCATAATATAAATAAATTGCAGAAATCCTGCATATTTTGTATTCTTGGTATTTTGAAAAAATGGGTCTCAATAAAATGATTGTGTGTTAAACCAGGGTCACTTGCCTTGTAAATGAGCCTGCTTTAAACCTATTTTAAAAGGAAATAATTTCTTGGAAAACCAAACAATCATTGCAAATATATATATATATATATATATATATATATATACACTTAAAAATTGATTTCTGCATGTTGGGGTTGCTTACAATAGTAGGGGTTGGGGTAGGGTGGAGGGGAATGAAATGAGCAGTGGGAGGAGTCACATTTATAGGAGTTTATTGATCCAAAGCATGGTAAGATTTTTTTTTTTTTTTGGCTTGGCTTATTCTCTCCTTTTCTATACCATTTCAAATCCTACTCATCTTTTAATATCCCAGTATAAAAAATTTCTGGGTGAGACCCATAGTAGGAAATGGATTTTATGCTGTAACCCTAGTACATATATAGTATATACACATTTCAGGAAGGAAAAGACAATTTTTAAAAGTGCCCTGTTGTAGCCAAAATTGTATTTGAAATTAATTCCTAAAGCAGAGAGCCTTGTCTGTTGGTTCTGGGTTGTTTTTTTCTCTGTATAGTGTTTGTTTTTCTTGCTGCTCATTTAGCACATGCCATCTAATGCTTGGTATTGTTATTTGTGTATGTGGTTCCCTGGCTGCTTTAGATAGTTATGATGCCATCCTGGAGGGGAAGTCTCTAATGACATGCCATAGGGCTCTTTATTCTACCATGTTCAATATATTTTTTTTATTAAAGTCTTTACTGAAGATTAGAAAGATTGCTCATCAAATTTGTAGGTGACACAGAGCAAGTAGCCATAGCTAATATATTGAAAGGCGAAATAAAGATTCTAAATGAAACATGAATGTTGGAATGAAAACCAACATGATGTAATTTAACAAAGACCAATACAAAAGCCCTTTATTGAGGCTAAAAAAAAATAAATAAAATAAATCAAGGGAGGTTTCTGGATTGTGACAATAATGCATGTGAAAAGATGGGGATATAAATCTTATATACATGCAAAATGGTTCAAAAATATCATTCTGTAAAAAAAAAAGCTAATGTAATTTTATGCTGCATCAATAGAAATATGGTATATAACTTGCAAGGAAGGTAACAGGTTCCCAGTATTCTGGGCTGGAGATTTATCTGGCTCCAGTTACCTTATTTTAATATAAGATAAGTTATAGATTAGCAAAAGTCCTCAGGATGTGAAGGAAGAGGAAACCATGGTTTAGGTGGAAGAGTTAGAGCAAATGTTTAGCCTAGAGAAGAGGCAAATAATACAGTACATGATTGCCACTTTAAATATTTGCCTCACTGTCACATGGCAGAGGGGGTAGTGTTTCCTGCTCCCCAGGGCAGAGTTAGGACCAAAGGGTAAAAGTGACAGAGGAGCTGACTTTGATTCTAATAATTAAGGTCGTCCGAGAGTATAGCAAGTTTCCACGTGAAGGAGTGAATTCTTCACCCAGAGAAATATCCTGCAGAGGTTGAGTGACTATCCAGCTAGGATGCTAGTAGTAGGGATCAGCTGAATTAGGCAACCAGTTGAAATAGATGATCTCTCTGTTTGAATTTTTATAATTCTCTGAATTGCATATTTGAAAAATAATACTATGAAAGTGATTTCATATAGATGATTTTAAGAGATACATTAATATTCAAGCTTGTGAGAATTTTAAATGTGCACAGTAGAGCATTTTGTATCTCAAGGCACTATGACACTATTCCTTTACTTTTGAAAAATACAACTTTGTTTCTTGTGTGCATTTGTAAAATCTAAAAAAAAGCCTGAAGACCAAAATTTTTTTAATCTCATGTTGAAATAATCTTAATTGAACTGATATGACACTATTTCAGTCTTTACTCCAGTTAGAATTAATATTCATATATACCTCCGTAGAAATATTATTGTATGTGATTATAGGGAGCTGTGGAGATCCTATTGGGGGTTATGATTTTTACCACTAACTTTCAAAATATCTGAAAAGTTCTTGATTCTCAATTATCTAATTCCAAAGGATTTAGTTAGGGGGTTATTATTATTAGTTGTCCTATTATTAAATAATTTTTGTTTTTCTTGAGTTGATTGGCTAAAAATCTATGTAATAAAGTCCATTATTTCCCCATGCTAGAATGATTCTTAAGAACTATTGTCAAGTCCTTAAAATTATCACTGAAGGAATTTGCCCTATGAGCCACACTTATACTAAATATTGAAGCAGTAAGTTGCTCTGCCATTCCATATATATTTTATGAAGAGGTCAGTGGCAAATATTATCAGTGTCAAGGATCTTCTCTCAAAGCATAATTTGATATTACTTAAGGCTGGCTCTGGGTGACAGTATCACACTTTTCTGGCCTAGGTGGAGTACTTAGTAAGATCAGGTAATTAATGGTTTTCATTTTACAAATAATTTCTGTAACTTTTACTCACTCTGCAGAATTTATGGGACACCTATGCTGATTCTCAGTGAAGCAACAGTATTTACAAGTTGAAGGAAATGAAGATACTAATTTCAATATGCTCATTTCACCCTGAAAACAACCTGTAAGGTAAGCAGGACTGATATTATTGTTCCCATTTTAATGATGAAAAAATGGAGTCTCAGGAAAGTGAAGTGATTTGCTTAGGTTACACATCCAGTAAGTGGTAGCATAGGACTTGAATCTAAGGTTTTAATTCAGAGTCTAGTTATCTTTCCATCATATTAACATATATTGAGAATCTGTTGTTTATCATATAAAATGTATCTTTTTTTTTTTACCCAACCCTTATCAGAGTCATTTACTTTTACTTGGCTGCTCAGAATTTGTGCCCAGTTTTTGTGTTTGGAGAATGCACTGTGAAATAAGTTTTTATTGGATATGGGTCTCCACTTACTACTGTGAAAGTCCAAAAGCTCAAACTCTTTGTCTTTCCATTCGCTGGCAGTTGGGAATCAGGAACATCAAGTAAGCTCAGCCAATGAGACATGCTCGCCTGGGGATAAGACACCAAAGAACAAAATTTGAATTCTAGGCTCGCCTTGAATTCTAGGCTCACCTGGGGCAGCCTAGAATTCAAGTCTGTGGAGGTGGTGCATTCTGTATCCAGCTGTGGTAGTTCTTCAGCAGACTGGATCTTTGGTTGCAATTCCTCATGCTTAATCTTTGTTGATTTCTGACTATTTTCTGGAGGTGATTCTCATCCCTTATGGTCTATGCCGTGAGCCATCTGCTTTCCTTTCATGAAATTTGTCTGCAAAAGTTAGTGGGGGTTAGTTCCTGTTGTTTTAAACTAAGAACTTTAGAAGACATTCATTTTATGGATGAGAGTTGTTCAGATTTTGGAAATATTTTGAAGGGGGAGCTGACGGGGGAGCTGACAAATTGAGGAAATTTGGGTATGGAATGTGAGAGAAAGAAAAGAATCAAAGACAGAATTTTTGGTCTAAATAATAAAAAAATAAATATATTACCAGTTCTAGTTGTTTATTACTTACAAATATTCCCTCAAGTGGATTAAAACAGCAGCCATTTATATTATTTCTGTTGGCTTGGTTGTCTCACAGCAAAATGACTGGGTTTTGAGAGTTAGTGCTCTGTGAAGATGAACATTCCAAGAGAACCAGGAAGAAGCTGCATGGCCTTTTATGACCTAACCTTAGAACTCTCATAGGGTCACTTCCACCATATTCTATGTCTAGAATTATTCACAGGCTCATCCAGATTGAAAGAGGAGGGGACATTGCAGCATCAAAGAATTTGGAGCCAAGAAAACAGAAACACCAATCAGAAAGGACATATGCATCCTTGTGTTATTAGCAGCACAATTTACAATAGCTAAGATTTGGAAACAGCCTAAGTGCCCATCAGCAGATGAGTGGATTAGAAAATTCTGGTACATCTAGACATGGAATACCATGTTGCTGTGAAAAAGAAGGAATCCTTACCATTTGCAACAGCATAGATGGGACTGGAGAGCAATATGCTAAGCAAAATAAGCCAGTCAGAGAAAAATAAACATCACATGATCTCACTCAATTGTGGAATATAATGAACAATATAAACTGATGAACAAAAATAGAACCAGAGACATAGAAGCATTGAACAGACTTCCAACCTATGAGGGAAAGGGGGGGGGGCATTAGGGGGATAAGAGATCAACCAAAGGACTCATATGCATACATATGAACATAGCCAGTGGACACAGATGGGGGGAACAAAATCTGGTTGAACTGTGAGGATCCAATGGCTAACTAGGAGGTGGAGCTTTTGACTTTAGCTGGCATAGAAACTGACCAATCAGAACCTAATCTGGTGAACCGAGAAGGTAGAACCTAAGGTGGGGGTTGAGGAGGGGTTTTAAGGGCAACAGTTGTTTGGTGTGAGGAGTAAGATAGTGGTTCAATTTTTTAAATGACTAGTTTGGCAGTATAGTGCATAGGGCTGGCTATCAGTCCAGATATAGGGATTTTTGTCTGCCAAGGGCATCTCCTTCTGCTGAAAAAGGCTCCCCTCCCCCATTTAAGCAATCCTATCCCATATAATCTATCTATACTAATAAAAGGGTAATATGCTAATTAGACCAGTTCAATCAGCCATCTTCCAGACGTCCAACTTCCTTCCAGACAAAGCTATGGTGGTGAGGGCTGAGGCAGAGGCAGTTAGGGGTGATCAGGCAGGTGAATGGTTAGGAACCAGCAGTCTCAGATTGTGAGAGGGATGTCTGACTGCCAATCCCCACAGGAATTGGGTCTAAACTGGCAGTCAGACATGCCCCAAAGGGTCCCCGATTGGAGAGGGTGCAGGCTGGGCTAAGGGAACCCCTCCATGCACGAATTTTATGCACCAGGCCACTAGTCCTATATAATAAAAGCCTAATATGCTAAGTGTCTGGTTGTTAAGTTGGCCATTCAACTAATCAAAGCATAATATGCTAATGATATGCTAAGGCCGCTCAACCTCCTGCTATGACATGCACTGACCACCATGGAGCAGACGCTCCAACCTATAGTTTAGCTTGCTCCTGGGGTCTGGCCAATCGGGACTGAATGAGATGGGCTGGACACTCCTGTAGCCCTCCAGGGTTCCTCCCTTGCTGGCCCCAATTGTTGCACTGGTGGGGTCCCTTGGCCTGGCCTGCACCCTCTTGCAATCCAGGATGATGTGGGAGAGCCGGTTTCAGCCCTATCCCATAGACCAGGCCAAGGGACCCCACTGGTGCATGAATTCATGCACTGGGCCTCTAGTTTTTATGTAGTTATTATAGCTGTTGCTTATGATAGCAGGTGGCTGCTCTGCTCATGCCTTGGGCTTTGTCCTGTGGAGAGGACCAATGTTGAACAAAATTCCTGACATTGCCTGTTAATTGATCATTCACATGGAGGGGGGGAATGGTAGTAGGGGGGTAAATTCCACATTTTGCAAAGGGGGATTGGTTCTAGAAATTAATGTGTATTAAGAAGGCATAAGTAGGAAGTGAGATTTGAGGTGGTTCTGTAAAAGAAAGCTGTTTGAGTGATTCATAGAGTGAGAGTACTAACATAGATAAAAGGGAGATGAGAGTAAAGGAAAAAGTTAACCTGCTCATAGGAAGGGAATACATAGTTTAGGGCTGTGTAAAGATGGGATCAAATGGGATGGATTGGACTGATGGAGCTTTTCCAAATCATCCCGATCTGGCCCTTGTTTGGGTGTGTTTTGAATTCTGATCAGTGTGCTTCCTCATAATCTGTATGTCACCATTGAAGTGTTTCAGTGACCCAGGGGTCCAAATGCATGAAATCACTTTAAAGAGATAGATAGACAGGTTTCTAACCCTTCAGCTATTTGGCTACATTCAGGTCCCACTTAAGAAAATTACCTGGATTTAGATAATCCTCAGAGGATTTTGGTTCCATTAAAAATTTTGAGCATAGGATAGATGTAATCCTTGATTCCTCATTTAATAAAATATAGAGGGAAATGGGTGCACACACATCAGCACCCTGAAATAGCAGACGACTAGAAGTACCTTGATTGGAATACATTCAGACAGATAGAAATATGTTTGAAATCATTGGGTGACATTTCAGTGGTGGTTGCCCTTCCCCTTTCCAATTTGCTGGGAAAAAAATCTTTTTTCTTTCACGGAGTATTGCAGAAGCATTTGCACTTGCTTGTATTTGCAGAATGCCAAGGCATGATATTACTCACTGATTCCTTGCAAGTCAGGGAAAAGATTTTAACAAGTGCAAAACACTGCACCGGTTGCTTCTTGTTAAGGGGCAAGGCTAAACATTGAAAAAATGTAAAATATTACAAATTAAATATATTCATGCTAGTTTTTAAACTAGTTTTGCAAGCATCTTTCTGTTTGATACTAGCCATATATGGAGTGTTTAATATGTGTCAGATATCAAAATACATTATCTCATTTAATCTTTCTTAAGAACTACAGTGCGGGAGATATTATTATTTTTACAGAGAAGGCCCTCCTGGCAATTCTGAGGGGAGTCAGAACCAGCTTTTAGAACAGATTAGGAAACAGGCTCCCAATGCTAAATGACTTCCATACCTTAATGACCTAGTCTTTTTAACCCTTTCTCATGGACAGTGCACTGTGATACCAGCATGTGAATTTTCTGACATTGTGTTAGGATCTTTGCAGGAAGTTGGTAAAACAACACGTGTCTCAATGTTTATGATGCTCATTATGCAGTTCCCAAGATCCTTCTGGAATAATTGCTTTAATGCAAAGGTTTATTTCCAATAGCAGCTATTTCAGAGCCGGTTGCAGTTAAGAAGAAGAACTGGATTTAGGATGTGAGGGAATTTAAATGTCTTTTAAATCATCCTAGGCCATCTGCTGCTTATTCTGCTTATGCTGGATGATGTAGAATTGAGAGGAAAACGTAGGTACAAAGAGAATGTGTATTTGGGAGCTAGAACAGGGGATTTCAGGATATTCCAGTTGGTGTACCGAGACTTAAGATTCAAATGCTGAAGAATTAAAGCAACATTCTCTTCTTTAGATTTCTTCCCTTGAAGAATTTAATGAATAGATTGGGGATTTTGTTTTCTGAGTCCTTTAAGAAAATGTGGCTCTGCATATAATAATCAGTCCTGTTCATCATAAACTGGGAGGTAGAGAAGCAGAGCTATAAAGCCTAAAGGCTCCAACACCACTGTGTCAGTGATGCTTCCTTCACATCATCACCTACCCTGTCTGTGATGCCTGCTTCCTGAAGACTGACCCCAGCATCTGAGCCGTGCAGAACCCCAGAGGCTGGCCACTCCTCCTTCCTCCCAATGCAAGATATGACATCATCTTGAAAATCTCATCACTTCTTGGGGAAGCCCATTCCATTGCTTTCAGGCTCTCAGGGTTAGGAAAGCCTCTGACTTGTGACTTCCACCCCTTAGTTCTGTGTTTGGCCCTCCCAGAGAATAGATTCAGTCCTCTACCTCCACCAGGTGCAGCTCCTGCAATCTCTTGCTTCTGTTTCTCAGCCTGCAGAGGGTTAATTATGCATGCAGCTCTGCTCTGCAGCCCAAAGCACAAAAGGCTGAGTTAAATGAAAGTCACAAGC